ACATTGTGTGTCATTTGTCGATATGGAGAATTTTGAAACGTTACTAGATGGATACTCGTGAAAAGTACAGCAGTTTAGCAACTGAATCAGACATTCACTGATTTGACAGACTCATTTCTAAACGGACTGTCTCACTTTACTTGCAAAACGAATGCAACTTTTTTTTTAACTAAGTGTTCAACCTCTCGATTTAATTACAATACTCACTTTACTTGCAAAACGAATGCAACTTTTTTTTTAACTAAGTGTTCAACCTCACGATTTAATTACAATACAATTAAAAATACCACGTTTTTGGTTTCCAGAAAACGAAGTTGAAATATCGACGTACAAATCTATACCTAATTAAACATCAATTCCCATAATAACACCTATTATTTGTTTCTGAGATTGCCGTATCGTACCTGTAATTTGAAAAGTAATACGTATAAATTATCTTTATGACTCCAGGTAACGACTCTTGTATTAATGTAACAGCATTTTTTACTCCTTTGACGTAAAGTCCGGGAGATGCGTGAATGGGCAGTCCGAATAATTATAATTAGATTTGGTAAATGTTACCCCAGTTTAAATATACTCAATGACATTGTGTTACACCCAGAAAAAATAATTTCTTCAACTCGTTTTTTTTTTTAAACAATGGTTATATACTAAGTGACATATAAATCCGAACACCCAGTTTAAATGGTTTTATTTTAATTTTTGTATAAGTACTTAATGAAGCATAATAAGTAAATGATAAAAATTTCAAAATGATTGCACTGCTTTAAAGCCCTTCGACCTTTAATAATGTGTGGATGCACCCTGATGTGCTACGCATTCTCCAACGCGCCTAGGCATGGTTCTGATCAGGTGGTCAATGTCCTCCTGTGGTATCTCATTCCAGGCAACCACCAACTCCTCTCGAAGTGCTTTTAGAGTCTGAGGAGGACGTTGCAAATTGAGCAATCTCCTACCCATCATATCCCACACGTGCTCAATTGGGGATAAGTCGGGAGATCTTGGTGGCCGTGGTAACAATATGACATCATTATGTTGAAAGAAGTCTATTGTGACTCTTGCAACATGTGGTCGGGCATTATCTTGTTGGAAAGTTGGATCTGCCAGGGTGTCAAGATAGGGTAAAAGATGGGGTTCTAGAACTTCGTGGATATAACGCTGCGCGTTCATGTTACATCTGATGATGATGAAAGGTGACCTGGAACCATAAGCTATAGCACCCCAAACCATAACTGTGGATTCCTCCTTTCACCACGTCGCCTTCTAACCCTGGCACGACCATCGTGCATGCCTAAACAAAATCGAGACTAGTCACTAAAGACAATACTGTTCCATTCCTGATCCCAGAGTGACCGTTGTCTGCACCACTCAAGGCGATTACGTCGGTGTTCTCGAGTTAAAGGGAGGACCCAGTGTGGCCGGTATGAAAACAAGCCAAAACTTCTCATTCGTCGATAAACACTTCGCATGCCAATAGGTCTTCCGTCTTCTGCAAACCATTCATTTGCAATGGACCTGGTAGTGGAGAAATGGTCCCTTAAGGCCAATAATCTTAGGCGGCGATCTTCACGGTCTGTTGTTCTACGGCGGCGTCCAGTCCCCCTTGCAATTGCCCGAAAAGAAAGTCCAGCTTCCCGAAGTCCCACTATACGGCCCCTGACAAACTCACTAAGTTGACGAAATCGTACAGGTCTCCGTACTCTAGGCATCGTAACCGATCGTAAAGGATGTCAAGAACCAAAATCCGCCAACGTTGATTCTTTACTGCGGCTGAAATATTCATTTTGAGAGCGTTAGTGAATTAAAAAAAAGCAGTATAAAAACCGGAATGTCCAACTGATAAGGCTGAAAATTTTTTCACTTGTTATTTACAGTAAGATAAATACATTCACCAACTTTTATTAAAATAAAACCATTTAAACTGGGTGTTCGGTTTTATATATCACTTAGTATATTTAAACCATATTCTGACAAAAATGTCAAATTTTTTGTTTACCTTTGTTAAAATGTCATCTCTTAGTTTTGTCGATGCCTAGAGGGTATACAGGAGTGTATTGTCTGCGTGGACGTCCAACACATTATTTTTTTTTTCTTATGACCAATAAAATTTCGTGAGAATGTCACCGTTTCATTCTTAAAGCAAGTCTACCTCATTGCCAAAAAATCAAGTTGAAATTATTTTTTCTGAATGTAACACTTCTAACATCACTGAGTATATGTGATTCAACGGCGGCTTTGACTGACCTGTAAGCTATAGTCATATTTGCTTTCAGAACTACCAGGTTGTCGAACATTCGAACTGGGGAAACAGCCGCCTTATGCATCTGACGTAAACAGTCATACTACAATGATATGGGCATCAATGTGAAAGGCTTGATGAGAGAAACACAATAGGCGGAGTGACGTCATTTTAAATCCAATATGACGATCGCCGCAAAATATCGATTTATCATATGATTTATATCTATCGAAATTTTATAATACAAATAAAGTAAGAAGTCTGATAGAGTGCTATTAATAAGACATGTCATTCGACTTAAATACTATAAAGTAAATAAAAAATAAAATATAAAAGTACAGGTAAAAAAAGCAAAAAAGTTGTCGCAACGTAACATGCTTTTTTTGAAAACTAATTTCAAATTTTTATGTCATTTTATTAACAGCTAAATAAAAGCTTGTTTTTAAAAAAGTATTATTTAAAATTTATTTATATAGCTGTGGATAGTCGCATCATTAACTGTAGAATTTACATCCGTTAACAAAGTTGTTCATGGTCTATTATTTTTTATACTAGGATTCTGGACTGGGGTAAAATGTCTGACCCAATTAGTTATCGTAACAACAATTAAGAGGATTATTGCTTTTTAAGCAGTATTGAGTAATATCTTTGTGGTCCAAAAACTAATTACACAACAACAGCGTCACAAACTTAAGAAATGCAACTCAGCACCGTCATTACATGCAGATTTAGCTGGTTACTGATATTTTAATGTTACACTAATTTTAATATATAGCAGTGGCGGCTCGTGAGGTAGTGCCACGGTGCCATGGCACTACCTTGTCTTCTTCAAAAAGAATATTTTTTTCAATCTTCAATGTTTTACTTTATTTTCTGCTTTTTCATTTTTTTTTTGGTATAAATTATATGAAGTGACAACACTGACAACGTGACAACACCGCAAGCATCCGAACCACGCGAGACGGAAAGCACGCCTTGACCTTGACGTCATCAACTTGTGCCAATTTTGGGCCGGCCCAAATAAAAAGAGAGAAATTTTACTAGCATCGCATACGAGCGACAGAGATAACGCTACCCTACACATTTTTATATGAGGTGAATAGCGAAAGACAAGTATAATTTGTGCCAGGCACATCATCAGTCGTAATTCGTTATCAAGTGATATCGGCGGTGTTTTTGTTCGGTCGGTCGTTTCGTTATGATTACGTCTAGTGCTGATTTCGGTCTTTTTTTACCTGAAAAGTGAAAAATACCTTTTTTGTTTTATGTTAGTACGTCTAGTGTTAATGAACTGCTCTGTTTTGTGATCATATTTTTTACTGTTTTATTAAAACTAGTGAAAATGAATAAAATCGGGATATTAAAAAACTCATTTAGTGGTTTTTCGCTGGATCAAAAACTGCAAATTAAAGAATTAGGACGGCCAATACCCGATTTAAAAATTGAGAAACAAAGTGGTAGCGGACAAAAATCCCGCTGTCGCAAATTTAATAAAAATGTGTACGATAAAAACAGCTGGATATGTGGTTGTGAAGAAACGAATAAACTATTTTGTTTTGTATGTGTTCTATTTGGAGGTGACGAGACTTGGTCAAAAAAAGGTACAGACGATCTTATACATATATGGGATAAAATGAAGACCCACGAAAAATCTAAAGTCCATATGAATAATGTTTTTAGCTTTTCAATTCTTGGTAAATTAAATATAAGGACTCAACTCAATTCGGCTTATCGCAATGATCTAATTAAACATAATAATCAAGTGGATAAGAATCGATATGTATTGAATAAAATTATTAATTGTATAAGGTTTTGTGGAGCATTTGAGTTAGCCTTAAGGGGTCACGATGAAAAGGAAAATTCGGAAAACAGAGGCATATTTAAGGAGCTGGTGAATTTTAGCGCCGAATTAGACAAAGAATTGAAAGTCCATATTCAAAGTGCCAAACTTTTCAAGGGTACCTCAAAAACAACTCAAAACGAGCTTCTTGAGTGCATGCTAGATGTTTATCATGAAGAAGTTAAGAAGGAGATTGCAAATTCTCCTTTTGTTGCAGTAATTGCCGATGAAACGACTGACGTAGCCTGTGAATTTCAGTTAGTTATTATTTTCAGATATTTGTGTAAAGGACAACCAGTTGAGAGATTTTGGAGATTTTTTAAATGTTGTAAATCCATTACTAGATCAAAATCCAAACAAATTAATAGCTCAAAGCTATGATGGTGCGTCTGTTATGAGTGGTGAATTGAATGGCGTTCAAAAAATTATTAAGGAAACTTATCCACTTGCAAATTATGTTCATTGCTATGCACACCAGTTAAATCTAATTATGACAAGCGCATGCTCTGTCAATAAGCAGGCTAGAATATTTTTCCATAATTTATCTGGATTGTGCTCTTTTTTTTCGACGTCTCCTCAAAGAACAAAAATTTTGGATGAAATAGTTAATTGCAGATTGCCAAGATCTTCCCAAACACGTTGGAATTTTCAGTCACGAGGTGTTCATACAGTTTATGAAAATAGGAAAGACCTGATTGAAGTTATGGACAATATAGAAAGTACTTCACGCGATTCTTCGTCGATTAATCAAGCCAGTGGGTACAAATTAAAGCTGCAAGATACAAATTTTGTATTTTGGCTAAGTATATTCCACATGTTGAAATTGTCTTTAACCAATTACAAAAAGTATGCACCGATTCTGTTAAGGTCAAAAATGATTTAGAGAATTTTGAAGCAGCAATTCAAACTATACGAGAACAAATGGATAGCATTATTGACGAGATTGAACGAGTGCAGAGAGAAACTGATGAACCGGCAAGAAAAAAAAGGCAAGTTGAAGAAGGCAGCAAAAAACGGGAAGCGTTAGAAATATGCGATGCAGTATTATCGCAAATAAGAACAAGATTTAACTTTTCTGGACATTTAGTTGCTTCTAATTTATTTGTGTCTGAAAAGTTTTCTGTTTATAAACATCAGTTTCCTGAAGCACATTTAAATGACACATGCACACAATTTTCATTTTTAGACAAAAACAGGCTTAAAACTGAGTTACAAGTATTATATATTATATCAGAGAGAAGAATTGAGTACTACTTCTGGAGCTGTTCCACTATCCATTTTATTGAACGAGGAAGGATTAAATTGTACGTTTCAAGAAACTCTTAAGCTCTTAAGTATTTTAATCACTATACGGATGTCAACATCTGAAGCAGAACGCTCTTTTTCAATGCTGAAACGGATTAAAACTTTCCTCAGAAACACAATGAAGGAAGTAAGGCTTAGTGCTTTAGGAATGCTGTCTGCAGAAAAACATTTTGTTAGTGGCATTGAAAATTTTAATAATAAGGTAATCGAAAACTTTGCTACCAAAAAAGAAAGAAGAATGGACTTCATGTATAGAAAACTTTGAAGTTATAGGTACTTCTCCACACTTGTTTTATAATTTGGTGCGCGTGTGTAAATAGTTTTATTTTTGATTTTTTTTGGACATATAGATTTATTGAACCTCAAGAACTTTGACCACTAACTATCAGGGGTAAGTTATAAGTTATTCTTTACAATTTTGAATCGATTCAAAATTATGGCTTCCATTCTGGCACTACCTCACTGAATTGGCACGAGCCGCCACTGATATATAGTGTTTTCCAAAAAGGTAAAAGATAGATTGAAAGGGTTCCGAGACTGTCCGCTACTGGACAGCAATCCTCTGGACAACATCGAATAGCACCTCTACCATGTGAGGCTAGGCCTTATCAGTGCCTTGCACAGAGTAACGAGGTCATGTAAAGAAAAGTACGAGCCCCTTCCCGCTTCAGCTGGCCAAACTATTGAAATCTTAGTTTATTTCTTATCAAACAGAAATAATAAAAATTTATCGGGGTGTTATAGGTTTAAAATATTAACAATAAATTCCAGTCTGACGTCATAAGATTTTCCACGTCCTATGCTTAGAATGTGATTCTGTGCCTGCTATTGAGCTTAGAGTTTTGTCAGTTATTACTCTCCGACAATGACAGTTTGATTTGCACTTTATGCAATAGATAGCAGTTCTCATCTTGCCCTCATTATTTATTTTCAAGATGGCCATATACACCTTCTCGAACCGGTGATGGTATACTTTATCTGAAGTCACTTGAAACACTGTGAAATACCGGGTGCTTTTTATATATCTATATTTAACACGCTCTGTTGCTGCAAAAATCGCCAAATTTCATAAGATCAAAGGCAGTTTCACCGGTCCACGTGGAGTAAAGCACGCCTATGCGTGGACATAGCCAATGAGAAAGCGTGTATTTCAGAGCTCGGAACAAGTGCAGGTGGCTACTGAAAATTGAAACAGTTTAGCCAGTGCCGTGTAGCGGTGAATAAACGTGTTTTCTTTAGTCTGTCCGTGTTTTTTCATAGATTTCATTAGTTTGTGTGTTTTTGACTTTTGAATACTCAGTTTACTTGTTGATTTAATTGTTGTGTTGATTGTTCTTGTGTGTCCTAAATATGGCTCTTTGGAGACCTTGGGAAAATGCTCCAAGCCACGAGGAGATGGTTGATGAACCTGTGCAGGCAGAATTCTTTCATAAAGATTTAGAGGAACAGACCCTAAGAATAATCCTAAATATGTATGATTGTCTGAAAAACGAAAATCCAGATTCCTCGCAAAATCAAATTTTAAACAGAATTTGTATCCTGACAAAAATCAGTCGGTCTACCATTTATAGGGTTATAAAAAGGGGAGATGTAGTCAACCATTCCTTCCACAGAAAGCGCATAGGGCAAAAATTAAAAAGAATAGACGTGGGTTTTCAGGAAGATATTCGTCGTATAATATACGGATTTTATAAAGAAAATTTGGTGCCCACGTTGGAAATGATACGGGATAAATTAAAAGATTATCCTGAAGATTTTTATAATTACAAATGCTTAGACTCACTGCACTGTATTGTAAAACTGTGTGGTTTTCAATACAAAAAATTAGATAAAAGAATGGTGATTATGGAGTCGTCTCGAATCGTTGAATTGCGCCAAGAATTTTTGCACAAAGTTAAAATCTATAGAGAGCAGAAAAGAAATCTGATTTACCTGGATGAAACGTGGTATGATACCCATGATGTTGTGCAGTACGGCTGGGTTGACGACAGCAACAAGTGCATTTTAAATGCACCATGCAACCGTGGAAAACGAATCATTATTCTCCATGCTGGCAGTGAAAATGGATTTATACCTAATGCCTTGCTGTTATCTGCCAAAAATATCAAAGAATCATGAGGACATGACCTCCGACTTATTTGAAAAGTGGATAGAGCAGCAGTTAATACCAAACATTGCCCCAAATTCAGTGATTATTATGGACAATGCGCCATACCATTCCCGACAGAAAAACAAAATTCCGAATACAGGCACAAAAAAACAAGACATTATTGATTTTATGATGGATAAGGGAATGGAAATACCACAAAAATCAACCAAAGCCATATTATTGGATCTTATTATAAGAGAAAAATTTGAAAAAGAGTATGTTGTTGACAATCTGCTTCAGCAAAATGGCCATGAAGTATTACCTCTACCTCCCTATTACTGCATTTTTAACCCGATTGAGATGGTCTGGGCTGCTTTAAAAAAAAAAGTAAGAAAACATAATCAGACCCCTCAATTAAGTGAATCGCTATTGGCCACAATAAGACATGCATATTGCTGCCACAGACCTATGGAAGCAGTGTTCTAGGCATATTATTGAAAAAGAAAATGAATATTGTGTTTTGCCTCCTGTAAATCCCGTTGTAATTCCTCTACAAGATGACTCTAGCGACAGCTCCGAAGGCGAGGATGATATATAAATACCTATAATGTAAGTCTTTATATACCTTTTTATATACCTACCTGCTATGTAAATATTTGCCTATGTCAAACGTTGGAATTCTGTAATTTTTCCATTTATTAACTTTCAGTCAACATAAATTAAACTCCCAATATAAGTATTTTTTATCCCAAATCAAAAAAATAAGAAGATAGTAAAATCCATTTATTGTGATATAAAAACATTATTATTATCGTTCTAAATAAATGACCGCACGCCTATGATACGTCATGAAATTACAAAGGACGCGCCGACCAAAGGTTTTTATGCTATTTCAAGTGACTTCAGATAAAGTATACACTTATCATAACCACGTATTTAGGGGTTATTGCAGGTTTAACGTGCACACGACAGTGTAATATGTAATTCTGCAGTAAAAAAATCTTGGATGGGACACTGTTTATATGGAAATTTGTTTTTCCAAAATACCATTTTTCAGCAATACCTCGACGGCAAATATCAACATAGAACGCGTGACGTTGAAGAATAGACCATAGAAGATTTATTATCGATTACAGAACGGAATGGATGCGAATTTTGACAGCGCTGCGTTGCCATATTTCGCCACCTGAGAGGTGAATAGTCACATGGTGGTTGACTGTGATTTAAAACATATTAACATGTGATTCATCCACGTTAGAGCTAGAAAGTTTTATGGTAATGGAAATAAAAGAACAGAAAGGTATATTTGCTTAAAATGAGTCAATAAATAATAATAAAAACAATAAATAAACTAAAGCAATACTTTCTGATGAATGAACAAAAATAGTGGCTGAAACACAGTATTTTCTAAAACAACATAATAAATAAAATATAAATATATGTATATAAAACAGAATTTTTATACCTCTTTAATTTTTTTATTTTAATTGTCATAAAACTTTTGATCTCTAACGTGTATGTCTCACATGTTAATATACATACTTCAAAATCAGTCAGCCACAATGTGACTATACACCTCTCAGGTGGTGAAATACAGTAATGGACAAAAGTATAGACAAATTAATATTGTGCTGTAATTCTTTTTTAACTTGTTTTATTAATACACCAACCTTATACATAATACGTTATAGCGTAATACTCACTTATACATAAATAAGTTAATTAAAAAAACTGGAACTATGCAGGACAAAGATATATAGACAAAGAAAAACAATTATAAAAAAGAAGCAAAGTTCATTGAATTATAGAAATCCAACTATATTTGTGTTAATATTTTGTAGCATAACCATTATTATCAATCGTCTCGGCATAGATTGTAGAAGTTTCTTGATATAAGATTCATCAATCTGTCTCCACTTTTGCTCTAAAGCGGCAAAAAGTTGTTTGAATAATTTTTATCTCGTATTTGCTTATCTAAGTATTCCCATAGATTTTCAATGGGGTTTATAACGGGAGACTGTGAAGGCCATTTGAGAACTGGTATTTTTTCATCCAGAAAGAATTTCTTTGCGAGATTTGAAGTGTGCTTCGGGTCATTATCTTGTTGGAAGATTGATCTTAAGGGCATTTTGTCTTCCATATAGGGTAACATGACATCCTTTAGTATGTCTGTCTATACAAACTTATCCATAATGCCATCTATTCTATGTAAAGGTCCCATCCCAAACCCCGAATAGCACCCCCAAACCATAACAGACCCGCTTCCATTTTTGACAGTGGGAAAAGTGTACTTGGGGTTCAATCTTTGTCCACTAGGGAGTCTAACGTAATGAACACCATTTGATCCAAACATATTGAACTTGGATTCGTCACTGAAACATACCCTCTTCCAGTCACAGATGCTCCAATCAAGATGCACCCGTGCAAAATCGGTCCTTACGGTTTTTCCTCGAGATTAGCGGCTTCTTACTCGGGGACGTGCAAATAACTTCAAATCATTTAATCTTCTACTTATAGTTTTCGTAGAAACACTGGCAATTCCTTTTATCTCGATTTCAGCTTTTATTTGTCTTTGGGTATTAAACGGATCTTTGGACAAAATTACTTTTATTAATCTAACTGATCTAGCATTTAGTTTTCCAGGCCGACCACTTCTCTTAGAGGCTTTCAAGATACCTTTTTGTTTATATTTGTTCAATATTGCCCAAAGTGCTTTAAGCTTCAGCTTCAAATTTTTGGCAATGTCGACTTGACGTTGACCATCTTTGTATAACTCAATGATCTTAGTTTTCGGAAGAAACTTCTGGACCACGCGGCATGGTCTTAAAATCACTGAACTTATTCCACAATACTTGATGAACACAAACTAATCCTCTTCTGACACGAAACTGTACTAAACTAATGTTGAAAAGAATTTGTCTACATAAAAAAGTGCTCATA